ACCTACGACCTTTGGAATACTAGCCCTGAGTACATTACATTATCACATACTCGAACCGACCTGACCGCGTAGCTCAGTTGACAGAGCATTGGGCTAGTATTCCAAAGGTCGTAGATTCGATTTCCACCGTGGCCAGGCATATTTTTCAAGCCTGCCCGGTGTGGATATACAATCACAGTAACATCACAAGAAACATCAATTTCAAATCTGTTCAGTTTTTTTTTTATACACCCTGTATATACAGAGTTGTGTATTCCCATGGCGTTATGATGATACAGTGCTATACATGCAGATGGTGCCTGAACCACAGGGACAAGTCCTCACAGAATCATTTTAGCTAGTAACCTACCTGCAAGCAGGAAAGCTGACACTGTAGGTTTTTGGGGTATTTAACTGCCTTAGTTTAGGCTATAAACTTGTCCACTAGAAAGGACAGGGGGAATGTCCTCTCTCAATACCCGTGTCACATTATCTCAATGAGCAACAGTCAGGATTTCTAAATCGAAAAATACGGGCGATACCCAACTACAAGGATGATCATCTGAGCCATCTAGTAGTGCCTTAATTTGAGCCCTAATCTATATAAACCCTAATCTAACCCCGACTCTAACCTTTAATCTAATCGTAATCTGGGGCCGATTGTTAGAAAGCCCATTATATGTAGCTTAACCCTACACTGTACGTTAACCTAAAATTCAAAGCAAATTACTTCCGAACAGCTTGTTTTTTAATTTGGAAATATTTCTTGTTTGGATCAGTAGGAGTTTTCTTCTCTGATGTTTTGAAATAAACAGACGTGCAGAAATACATAAACTAAACCAACAGGTTAAATTTTAACTTATATAGGGTTAGTGCTATAATTCAGCTTTGAACAACCGGCTCCAGAACCTTAATCTAAACAGACGACCTTTTTTTATCTATCCCACCCCGGCCTTTTTTTAATCATGAATGTTATTTCACTTGAGTGTATGGCATATATGCACGACAATTTCCCATATATATATATATATATATATATATATATATATATATATATATATATATATATATATATATATATATATATATATATATATATATATATAAACGTTTGTATAAATATAAAGAGCATGGCAAAACCCAGTTAGTTGCAGTGACATAGTCAAGGTGTAGGATTAATTTTGAGTTTATTTGTATGTGCATATAGTGCTGTTCGACTGAAAATTCTTCAAGATGTGAAATGTATCCCACCCCGGCCTTTTTTTAATCATGAATGTTATTTCACTTGAGTGTATGGCATATATGCACGACAATTTCCCATATATATATATATATTATCTATCCCACCCCGGCCTTTTTTTAATCATGAATGTTATTTCACTTGAGTGTATGGCATATATGCACGACAATTTCCCATATATATATATATATATATATATATATATATATATATATATATATATATATATATATATATATATATATATATATATAAACGTTTGTATAAATATAAAGAGCATGGCAAAACCCAGTTAGTTGCAGTGACATAGTCAAGGTGTAGGATTAATTTTGAGTTTATTTGTATGTGCATATAGTGCTGTTCGACTGAAAATTCTTCAAGATGTGAAATGGACGGAGAATGACAAACGAGTAGAAGTCGTTGATGTAACATTGGATCATTTTAAGGTTTATTTAGTATATTGAACAATTCACTTTGAAAAACCATGCACAAACTATAAATATGTAAATAGCGCCGTCATGCTAGTTATGTTTATTGTATAGCTCTTCGTCTTTTTTTAAAAAATTGTGGATTATCTTGTATCTATAATTGTGGATTGTTCATAACTGTTAGTTCATTAGACTAGCATCCACAGTTATCATATAATGCTCAGTTTCTCTAAAAATTATCCTTTTTCGCTGCGATGTTGGTACAAAGTTTCCACCCAAGTACAATCTCAAGGTCCTCGTCAAACTGGAATTCAGAGACCGGCAAAACAACTGTCGTTACATACTTGGTCGACTCTGAAATCAATGGGGATCCTATACGCAAGGTGAGAGGCAGTCGCTCGCTGACGATTCTTCGTCCATCGCAATTCGAGATAACCAAATAACTCAACGTCCAGATTCCCTCAACTTCGTCCCGATGAAATTCGCTCAGTTGTACTTAGCCACACGGTCGATTTTGCATGCTTTACCGAGACATGGTTGACAGACTCAGTTCACAACAATGTTATTAAATTACAGGCTTTAACATTGTTAATGCCGCGTTAATGGCCAACATGGTGGTGTTTGTTGTTATGTCAACGACTCTGTTCCCTACGAGGTCTTATCTCAGTATCATCATGACTTCATCATACTTCCTCCTGTGAAGATAAGTCCCAACTATTCATCACAGAGTTAAAGCAAGGTGTCGATTGCTATCTTCCACAAAGGACAGTAAAAGTTCACCAAACAGATCGCCCATGGATGACAAATAAACTCAAGATATGGATCAGAAAACGCCAAACCGCATTCCAAAGACGTGGTAAAAACTCGTCCATATATAAACACTGGAGGAATAAAATTCAAAGGGAAATTAAAGCGGCCAAGTCACATTATTATAAACATAAAGTTGCAGAACTGGGACAGACTAACCCCGGAAATGGTGGAAACAAATAAAAAGTCTTATGGGACAAGACATTCAATAGGAATGGCATTATCAATTTCTTGGTGACAATGGGAATGTTAAGATACTCGCAGATAGAGTCAATGACTTCTTCTTGAGCGTAACTGAGAACTTTTCACCGTTATCGCCTCTTTGTCCAACTCAGCATGTCCCAAACGAGTTCCTTGTTTCTGAAGCAGAGGTTTATCGATCATTGTCATCTCTACAAGTAGCCAAATCTGTTGGACCGGACGAACTCCCAAATAAAGTATTAAAGGAATTTGCTACGGAGCTTTCTCCAGTCATTCAGGATATCTACAATCAGTCCATTAAGGAAGCATATATCCCAGATTTACTTAAATCCTCAATTATATCTCCAATACCGAATGTAACCACACCACAATCAATTGAAAGCGACTTACGTCCAATATCCCTAACATGCAATTTGGCTAAAATTATGGAGGGATTTTTCTGTAGGAGACTTCTATCACAGCTGGCACGAAAAATTGATCCCCGTCAGTTTGCTCGTAAGGGTCACTCCACTACGGATGCACTACTATTTTTACTTCAACCCGTCTACGAGGCCCTCGATAGCGGAAATGCTTGTGCTCGTTTCTTTTTTGCCGACTTTTGCAAAGGGTTCGACCGTATTGACCACCATATTCTCATGAAGGAGCTGATGGAATTGGATATTCATCCTGTTTTATATAATTGGATTAACGCTTTTCTTTCTAATAGAAAACAAGCTGTCAGAATAGGGGAGACTTTGTCAGACTGGAAATCCCCAAATGGTGGTATACCTCAGGGAACTAAACTTGGTGTTATTCTTGTCTCGGTTATGACAAATAAGCTAATATCTGACTGGCATTTAAGGACAAAGTTTGTCGATGACACAGCTGCGCTAGAGATTATTCCCAGGAACTCAATTAGTTATCTGAACCATACGGTAGATGAATTACATCAATTCTCTGTAAATCATAACATGAGTCTCAACCCACTTAAATGCAAGGAGATGGTAATTAATTTTATGAATAATAACAACTCCATAATGAGGCCTTTTGTAATAGGCAGCAACGTAGTAGAAAGGGTAACCAATTATAAATTACTTGGAGTTCAATTGAGTGAGGATCTCAAGTGGAATAAACATGTTGATTATATCTACAAAAAAGCTTGTAAGAAGCTATATTCCCTCCGCGTACTTCGTAGAGCTGGCGTTGAGCAAAGGAAAATACTAAAAGTGTATCTAACTACTATCAGACCCGTATTGGAATATGCTGTTCCAATATGGCAAGCGATCTCTGACTACTTAAGTGAAAGGATAGAATCAATACAGACAAGGGCACTTCGAATCATCTTCCCTTCCATAGACAATTATAATGAGGCGATGATGATGGCACAGATACCAACATTGGAGAGCAGACGAGAACTGTTATGTAAAAAATATATGACTAAAATGAAGAAGGAGGATCATCC